TGCAGAACTCTATCATGCGGTCTCGCTTCTATCACTAAAGCCATATTTTCCAACTACCAATCCTTTTCTTTGTTCCCAGCTTTCACATTCCAACCACATTCCAATCACCAGTAATTATCAATGCATCTTGGTTGCATGTTTGATCGATTTCAGACTGCAGAAGTTGGTAAAAATCTTCAATATCCTCATCGTTGGCATTAGTTGCTGGTGAGTCACTTTGAATAATAGTTGTATTAATTGGTCTTCCTTGTAGGCATATGGATATTATCCTATCGCTGACAGCGTGGTACTTCAGGATAGATCTTGAAATGTTTTTTTTTGACGATGAAGGTGACACTATTCCTCTTCAATTTGTCATTCCCGGCATAGTAAACTATATGATTGTCCGATTCAAAAAGGCCAATATCGGTCCATTTCACCTCATTAATGCCTAGGATATCAATCTTTATGTAGTCCATTTCATTTTTGACGATTTCCAGTTTTCCTAGATTTTCCCTCCAAGTGGGAGAAAGATGTGGCATTCTGCTTCCGAAAAGATTTGCAGCCTTGGAAACCCTATGGGGCAGCTCTACTGTGTCCTCTAGGCTCACTATGAATCAGAACCGACTCGCTGACAATGGGTTTGGGCTTTTTATATAAGAGTTGGAGTCCCTGGGTCATGCAGAGAGTTAGTGCACTCAGCTACTAACTTGAAGTTTTGAATCCACCCAGAAGTGCCTCTGGAGAAAGGTCTGACAATCTACTTTTCAAAAAGTAGCCTTTGAAAACTCCGTGGAGTACAGTTCTACTCTGACACACACGGGGTCACTATGAGTCAGAGTCAACTCGATGGCAACTGGTTTGGGTTTTTTTGGTTTTGTATAAGAGTTATCTATTGTTATTTAATAGAGTCAAGCCTTAGAGGAAAGCTCAAGTTTATTTTTCTTCTTTTATTTTGTCCCAATACTATGAATGGGAAAATGAGAAATAAATTTGACTCTATTTTTATGCATTTTAAGTAGAGAAACAAATAGCATTGATGAGATTCATACAATGTGGTAGAAAAAAAGTTTGACTAAATAATACAGTTTAGAAAGCAAAATTCTGTTAAGACACAAAAAAGCCATGTGGCTGTCAGATGTGTCGTGTTAGTGTGTTTTAACTTATTACTGAGCAAAATTCATGCAGAAATATGACAGGCTTTGTCTGCTCACAAGAAGGATATTTTTTTTTGACCCTTGCCACTACTCACCTAATATATAAGCATAATGTGTATATGAGTACATATATACACATATGTATACATCCAAAACAAAACAAACCCATTGCCATCAAGTTGATTCCAACTCATACTGACCCTGTAGGACAGAGTAGAACTATGCCACAGGGTTTCCACGGCATAGTTTATGGAAGCAGACTGGCACATCTTTCTCCCTCAGTCTGGCTGGTGGGTTCGAACTGCCGACCTTTTGATTAGCAGCCAAGCCCTTAACCACTGCCCCACCAGGGCTCCTTATGTATGCATGACTTATACACATAATGTGTACAAGTGAACTCAATAGAAGAGTCTTGCTTTTCTCTAAAGCCCGAGAATGCCTCTGACGACTTTTTGGCTCTGTTATTAACTTTGGGCAATCTCTTCGAATTTAGTTTCTTCATCAGTTAAAAAAGTGAAGAAGAATATCTACATTATGGTGTATGGTGAGGATTTAAAGTAACACATGGGAAGCATCTTCCCACATATCACAGATGCTCTATAAATAGCAGTTTCTTTTATTTTCTCCTATTTCCTCTCAAGATTGTAGAGTTCAAGTATATTTATTTACTCTCTTCTCTTTCTGCTGCTGATACTTTTTCATCTTTCCTCTTCTCCACGTTGCCTGTGGGGTCTTGGTACACTGAGGAAGGACCAGATCCAGTGAGGAGACAAGCTTAAACAATGTCCACCAGCCCTTTTCAATGTTTCTCTAACACACATCAACTAAAATACTTAGCAATATTGATAGGTTAAATATTTGTATATATTTATTGGCGACATGACATTGTTGACCTGGGTCCAGTTAATGCACTGAACTAGTAAGCTGAGGGTTTGAATCCACCTAGAAGTGCTGTCCGTTTAAAAGTGACATTTCCATAAACTCATAGGATGTTTAAATATGAATTCAGCTGATTTTATTTACTTCCATGGGAGATAGCCTAGAAGTAGAAAGTGCTCCCCTCCCGACAGAACTGTGCTTCTATGACTCCCTGCTGATTCCTCAAGACTTCCTTTCTGTAGCCTTGCCGTCCCCCACCCTCACGGAAGAAGTAATCTCTCATCTGCATTTCCCTGATGTTAGTGCAGAGCTTATCAGAACATACTTCGTGTGTGTGTTTGTGTGTAGGTGTGTGCATATGTATATGCCTTGATTGTGATTTCTTTTGAACCAGAACACGGTATATTAATTCATAGAACCTACATAATTCTTCAACATAGTATATGTTCATAAATATTTGTTGACTGGGAATGAAACATAGCCGTTTTTGATGGCATATGCTTTGCTGTCATTGTCTTAGAACCAATATCTTGCTCTTTTCCCATTGGATCAGATCATTAAAAGCATATATTCCATCTTCTTGAGGACTATCTCCAGTTGCGTTATTGTCTGCGTTGACTTTTGCAGGCTAAGAATGTATGTCTTAAATTGTTTGGAAATTAAATCACGATATTCTGTCCAAGAGGATAAACTCCTTTGCTCCTGTATTATCTGTTAGATAAATCTGTTGGGGATGGGGCGGAAGCAGCTGTAGAGATCATTATGGCAACAATAACTGCTACTAATATTGCTGCTACTAATATTAGCAGCTAGCATTTATTGAGTGCTTGCTGTGTGCTAGGCACTGTTCTAATTGCCTGACATCTCACCCCCGCAACAACCCTCTGAGATAGATATTGTTTACTGTCTACATACTTCACATAAAGAAATGGAGGCACAGAGACGGTAAGTAATTTGCCCAAGTCTCTCAGCTAGCAAGTAGAGGAGCAGAGATCAGGGATTCCACCTTCAGCAGTCTGGGTCCAGTGTCTGTGCTCCTAGTCTCTGCTACGTTGTAATAGTTAAAAGTCAGGTTCTAGCATTAGTAACTATTAACCGGTTGCTATTGAGTTGATTCCAACTCATGGCGACCCCCTGTGTGTCAAGAGTAGAACTGTGTTCTGTAGGGTTTTCAATGGCTGATTTTTTGGATTAGATCACCAGGCCTTTCTTCTGGGGCACCTCTGGGTAGACTGAAACCTCCAGTCTTTCTGTTAGCAGTGAGTGTATTAAACATTTGCACCATCCAGGTGACTCTATAACCTTGGGTAAATTTCCTAAGCCTTCTGAGCCTTAGTTTCTTCATTTGAAAAGGGGAATAACAGTACCTACTTTGTGGAGTTGTGATGAATATGGTATTATTAGCAAATAAGACAGTACATATCATGCCTGTAGCATAGCAGCTGTTCATGCCAACACCCAGTAAATTTTTTGCTATTTTATTTTTGTGTTGGTGATACGACATAAATATAACATCTAAGAACTAGTGCTACAAGGTACTAAATGGCAAGGGCCGAACGAGTGATTTCACCCGCAGTTGTTCAGAGGAGGAAGGAACAGCATCTGGCCACGGTGGTCTCAGGAGGTTTCAGGACCACTCAGATGAAGTGAAATGAGAGCACAGCGTTTCGGTTAATGAACAGGGCAAGCAGAAGCACAGGGAAGAGAAAACGGAAGGCTTTGTGTTTGACGGTCATTTGAGAGATTGAACAAAATGACAGTGGGAGTGTACCTCAGGCTGGTGAACAGTAAACCCTGCTTTGTCCCACCCAGTGACTGATGAGGCGCTAACGTTACCAGCTGACCGTACTTGGAGAGCAGTGTTGTTTTTCTTTCCTGTGAGTGCCAAAATCATCAATTCTGTTAACTAGGTTAGAACAAAAAGTCTCTCAGATGGATTGTTTGGCATCCTGTGTGTGTTGCAGATAAAGTCCAAGCTTTGCTTGCCAGGATGTTGCCATATTTTTCAGTCTTGTTTTCAGTCTTGATGGGAAGATGAAGACAATGTTCGTCCTGGGTGTGGACAGGCCTGGTGGGGGATGGATGAGGTGCCAGAGAGGAAGCTGAAACTTACCAGCTGTTGAGCGTTTCACGTGTCCCCGTTGTGCTTTTTCTCGATTCTCATGAGCCTAAAATGCACAGAAAACGAGAGCTTTCTCTGGGCCCGAGAGGAGAAGTGCGGCAGCTGCTACCATCTGTGGTCCTTAGAGAACCTGGGCAGCTGCTTCTGCAAAGAAACCAGCTTTCTGTGCAAGGTTGTGCTTTTCATCTAATCATTCTGGTGGAACCCAGGGCAGATACGGAGAGTTGTTGACAGGATGACCGCCTTAAAAACTAGGCACTAACCTTCTCGCGACACGCTCCTGGTGTGGCTCGTACACGCGTACTCTCAGATTTGGTTTTACTGCTGGCGTGTAGGGAAGCAGGAAATGAAAGAGTGAAAACCAGAGACGCGGCCTCGACTACAGTGTGCTTATATGATTACTCAAAAAAAGTTAAACTGATCGGTTTTGTTCTTTGTTCAAAACTAGTGAAGTTTTAGTTAAAAGGAAGAGTAAGAAAAATATTTGACTTACATATTGATTTCTCTCCTTAAAAATATGGTATGAATAATTAAACAAGGAATCATTTAAGAGGGTGTTGGGTTGGGAGGGGTTTGGCCAGTGAATTCAAGTTGCACAATGAACTTCTGGCTGCAATTCCAGGTGAAGTCAGGCTGATGTTGAAAACGCTCTTGTTTTGTTTTGCTCTGGAATGTTATTTCAAGGGAGATTTACGAACATTGGCAGCTAACAGGTGGTAAGTTTTTCAATGATAGCTATTTGTGAGAATGTACTTTTCCCTTTTCTCGAGGTTATCTGCAGAGTAGCCGTTACAAGCTTGATGAACATCTGTCTCACTCCGTGTGCAGAGCACTGATGGCACAATGTCTTTTCGTTCTCGCAGGGGTAACCATTCAGTTAACAAAGCTGAGGAGAGGACTTTGACGCTGTAGCATGGACCAGCGAGAATTGCCTCCTCCGGCACCAGAAGGTAACAGAAAGTTTATTTCAGTAGATGTATCCCTAATGGACTGTGGTGGATTGGGGCTATTACCAAGGACTCCATACTTTTGGAATCACTAAATTGCTGGTGACTAGGGTCGCTGTGAGTCAGAACCAACTCAATGGCAAGGGGTTTAGGGTGTAACTTGGGGTGAGGACTTCTCAGGGAGAAAGACAAGGTTCTGACTGCAGATACTGCAGTGACTATGAACTTCGAGTACCCCCGCAGTCACACACCGAGCACACACACACCCTCACCTTTTCAGAACCAGCAGAACTGGGCATCTTCCATTCTACTTCTGCACTCTCCTTAATGCATTTTTTTTTTCCAGTAGCCAAAGTTTATCGGATTAAAGTTTGTAAATCTGTTTTGGTTTAAATTTTATTTTTTCCCTGAATCACAAAAGTTATATGTTCTCATAGAAATTTGGAAAATACAGAAAGACACAAAGACAAAAATAAGAATCATGCAGTCCCACCACCGGAAGACACCCTTTTGTGACTTTTTGCTGGCTATTAGAATCCCGTTAACCTGAACCTGATTTAATTGGAATTGAAACAGGAGGCGGAAGGTTGTGAAAGAATGGAGGGCTTCCTGTTTTAGAGACTAAATTTAGATATAGGAATATAGCTTGTCCAACGTGAGTGTTCTGACACCAAACCACATAGCTTCTCAAGGCACCTGGAAGTTCAGTCGCACACCAGTTTCCTTTTCTGCTTCCTTCCTCTGCTGGCACGCTCATGAAAAGCACTGGCTTTCTTTATTCATCTGCTTAGCAAGTAGAGACTGTGTGAGGAAGAGGGCCACACATTAAAATTCCTACTCACAGGAGGCCGGACATTGTCACGTCACCAGGGTTGAGTCACTGCTAAAAAATCATGACAAGGAACGCTGTCCAAGACACTGACCAGTTGAAAAAAGTTATGCTTGCTTTGTAGACATCAATCAACTTTTCACATGAGGGTCTTTTTCAGGGTTTTGTATTTGCCCCTTGGAAATCTCACTCACGTTCTCACTGTATCTGCTAGACCGCACTTACGCAGACAAATCGGGATATCCACTGGGGACACCAGGTGCTGTGAGACACAAAGGGCAGAAACCATGAGGGTATGAGTAGCATCTGGGTCTTAAAAGCTTGTGAGCGGTCATCTAAGGTACTCACCTGGTCTCACCCCATCTGGAGTGAGGGAGAAAGAAGAAAACCAAAGACACAAGGGAAAGATTAATCCAAAGGATGAATGGACCACAACTACCACAGCCTCCGCCAGACTGAATCCAGCACAACTAGATGGTGCCCGGCTACCACCACTGATTGCTCTGACCAGGATCACAGTAGAGGGTCCCAGACAGACCTGGGGGAAAATGTAGAGCAAAATTCTAACTCACAAAAAAAGACCAGACTTACTGGTCTGACAGAGACTGGAGAAACCCCTGAGAGTATGGCCCCTGGACACCCTTTTAACTCAGTACTGAAATCACTGCTGAGGCTTACCCTTCAGCCAAAGATTAGACGGGCCCATAAAACAGAAGAAGACTAAAGAGGCACACCAACCCAGGGGCAAGGACGAGAAGGCAGGAGGGGACAGGAAAGCTGGTAATAGAAAACCAAGGTCAAGAAGGGAGAGTGTTGACATGTCGTAGGGTTAGTAACCAATGTCACGAAACAGTATGTGTATTGATTGTTTAATGAGAAACTAGTCTGCTCTGTAAACCTTCATCTAAAGTACAATTAAACAAAATAAACAAATAAATAAATAAAACTACCCCCCCTCAAAAAAAAAGTCTGATGGCAAATGTGGGCTTTGTTTACCATGTTTTTTCAGAGAAGATTGAAATCTACTGGACTCTTAGTAACTTCTGTCCTTGTCCTGACAGCAGTGTGAGTGCTGGCCAGGGTCTGCTCACCTGAATGCCTCTGCCTTCACTACACCACCACCACGACTTGCAGAAGTGCCCATCCCTCTACTGTCTTCATTTAACCAGAATTTCTTTTCTGCACTTCATCTTGGGAAGGAAAGTTATATGCCCAGTCAGCATTTCATTTTAGTAGCTGTATTAATTATCCCCGTGGTTGAAAGGCCCTCCAGGAAGGAGAGTTTATTGCTGTGATGCCCAGGGCACTGAGAGAGTTCAAGAACAAGCACCACAGTATTAGAGGTCCTAACAGACACAGGAATTGGAAGGAAGTTTAGCATCCAAGGCAAGGTTCATCTTAGTATTCCCTCAAAATTAGTATTCCATTCATCCTCACCTTAGTGGGTCGGTCCATCCATTTCTCCTTCTACCACCATATGCCTGATGTGTTCTCTTTGCCTTAGTTTAAGATCACAAGAGAGACTCTGATTGTTTCAGCTCATCCCTCTCTGGGGATAGCTCTTCTTGCTAGACTGTCCTTGAGTCTGGTGCCCACCCTTGATCCAGTCACCAAGGCAGAGATTTTCTTAGATGAGAACTCACTCTGGATTGGAGTAAAGTGAAAATCACCTATAATTCTACCATGTAGAGTTAACCACTATTAACATTTCATCTGGTGATCTTATGGAAAGATTACTGAGGCGCTTTAGAGGGAAATTGCAGAGAACAGTTGCTGTATTGTTCAATAAGAGCATATGGCTCTGTTTCTTTGGGTAAATGGCTTCATTCTTGCTGATAGCCCATGGCATGGCTTTTGACTGGGGTATAGAAGCCCATAATTTAAAAATAATGACACTGTAATTTAAAAATTTAGATAATATTCATTGTTGTTGTTTTTGCTGGGTGCCATTGAGTCAGTTCCTACTCATAGCAACTCTACATAAAACAGAAGGAAACACCGCCCGGTCCTGCGCCACCCTCACAGTTGTTGCTATGTTTGAGCCCATTGTTGCAGCCACTGTGTCAGTCCATCTCCTTGAGGGTCTTCCTCTTTTTCACTGACCCTCTACCTTACCAAGCATGATGTCCTTCTCCAGGGACTGATCCCTCCTGATAACGTGTCCAAAGTACGCAAGGCGAAGTGTTGCCATCCTCCCTTCTGAGGAGCACTCTGGCTGTACTTCTTCCAAGACAGATTTGTTTGTTGTTCTGGCAGTCCATGGTGTATTCAGTATTCTTCACCAACACTGTAATTCAAAGGCTTTGATTCTTCTTCGGTCTTCCTTATTCGTTGTCCAGCTTTTGCATGCATATGAGGCGATTGAAAATGTCATGGCTTGAATCAGGCACACCTTAGTCCTCAAGGTGACATCTTTGCTTTTTAACACTTTAAAGAGGTCTTTTGCAGCAGATTTACTGCAAAAGTGATAATGCTTACATAATTTTCTAGCTAATTAACTCTTGTGACAATTGAAAATGGGAATAATGCCCTGATGTCTTTTCTGATGCTTCAGTGATGGTTCAATTGTAACCTCTCCATTGTTAAAATAAAATTATCCACTTACAAATGTCCTTGGAAATAAAGGGGGAGGGGGCGGAGATATTACCTGTATTCTTATTTCTACAACCCATTTTACCACTAACATAATTTATGTTTGTATTTTGGATCACCACCTGTTTGGTTTTTTTCTTCATTTATTTTTTTATATAATTGCAATAATTGAGTATACATTTTTATGTCCTGCTTTTAAAATTGTTTTATAAGTATTTTCTGTGCCACTACATGGTTTTTCATAACTGTTGTTTTTAATGACTACATAATATCCTGTTACCTGTATTTTTATATGTTCATGTGGGCTAGTTCTTATTTTACATCCATTCATTACCTTTGTCGGGTACCTGCGCCTTTCCTAGAAACTTCCTTGGCAACAGTTCGAATTGTCACAAAGTAGTGATATTTGAGAGGCAATACTGTGTAGCATGGAGCCCTGGTGGCGCAGTGGTTAAGAGCTCAGCTGCTAATCAAAAGGTTGGCAGTTGCAATCCACCCCTGCTCCTTGGAAACCCTATAGGTTAGTTCTGCTCTGTCCTATAGGGTCGCTGTGAGTCGGAATTGACGTGACGGCAGCAGGTTAGGTTTTAGGTTAGGTTATCGTGTAGCAGTAAGATCGTGGGCTTACTACATGACTGCTTGGGTTGAATATCGGTTCCACAGTGTATTAGCTAATGACTGTGGGCAGCTTATGTAATCTCTCCGTCCCTCAGTTTCCATCATGTTTAGATTTCATAAGTTTGCGTGAGGATTTAATGAGTTAGCATCTTTAAAATACTTAGAGTAGAGGCTGGCCTATAAGCACTTGGCAAATCATGTTTAGAAGATGCTTTGGGATTGAAAAAAAAAATCATATTAGAAGATGCTCTGGGATATTTCACAATGACAAACTCAACAATTTTATGATTTTAAAAGTCATACTACCAGCTAAAGCCTTTCTGTAATAAATAGCACAATTTCAATACAAATCACATTAGGGAGAAGAAATTAACACTTGCTGTGTTAAGGTTGGTTTAAGAAAAAAATTGGTTAAAATATGCCTGATAACTTACATAGTGAACCCAAACAAGAGAGAATGCTCCCACACTCTCTGGGAGAACAATAAGCCAGCAAGGATAGTTTGGTAATGCATGGAATGCTCCAGTCGAGCTGCCATGGAGGGGAGCTGACCTTTGACTGTGCTGAATTGTTCCTGGTGGGGGGCGGGGGGCTCTGTTCAGCACATGCAGCTACAAACCACAGTGAAAATCTGAGCCAAGATGAGAACAGAAATGAATTGTAGTTATGAATGGGCCCTTGTTGGTGAAGCTGTTTTCAGCCTGGTGCTTTTTAAAGCCCCCCTTTTTTTAGAATAAAAAGAATTAAAAAACAAGTAGCTTCCCTTTTACATAAGAGAAAATCATATCTTGAATTAAGCTTTCATGTTATAATCAAATATGGTCTTAAAGACCACAGGAAAAATGCTCAACCTTTACCTCTGAACTGAAAAATGAATATCCTTTTCTCCTGCCTTAATGCATCAATATGTTGCATGTCTTTACAAGCTGCTGATGGATTTTTAGCAGTCATGGAGGATTGTCGG